TAAACCAGACAAAGACACTTCAAAGAAAGAAAACTACAGACCAATATCTCTAATGAACCTAGATGCAAAAATCCTCAATAAAATTCTGGCGAATCGGATACAAAAACATATAAAAAAAATTGTACACCATGATCAAGTAGGATTCATCCCTGGGATGCAAGGCTGGTTCAATATACGGAAATCAATAAATGTTATTCACCACATCAATAGACTTAAAAATAAGAACCATATGATCATCTCGATAGATGCGGAAAAAGCATTTGACAAAGTACAGCATCCCTTTATGTTCAAAACTCTAGAAAAACTAGGGATAACAGGAACATACCTCAATATTGTAAAAGCAATCTATGCTAAGCCTCAGGCTAGCATTATTCTGAATGGAGAAAAACTGAAGGCATTCCCTCTAAAATCTGGAACAAGACAGGGATGCCCTCTCTCTCCACTTCTCTTCAACATAGTTCTCGAAGCACTGGCCAGAGCAATTAGACAGACGAAAGAAATGAAAGGCATAAAAATAGGAAAAGAAGAAATTAAATTATCACTATTTGCAGATGATATGATTCTATATCTAGCAGACCCAAAAGGCTCTACAAAGAAACTATTAGAGCTAATAAATGAATTCAGCAAAGTGGCAGGATTTAAAATCAACACGCATAAATCAAAGGCATTCCTGTATATCAGCGACAAATCCTCTGAAATGGAAATGAGGACAACCACTCCATTCAAAATATCTTCAAAAAAAATAAAATACTTGGGAATCAACCTAACAAAAGAGGTGAAAGACTTATACAATGAAAACTACAGAACCCTAAAGAGAGAAATAGAAGAAGATCTTAGAAGATGGAAAAATATACCCTGTTCATGGATAGGCAGAACTAACATCATCAAAATGGCGATATTACCAAAAGTTCTCTATAGGTTTAATGCAATGCCAATCAAAATCCCAATGGCATTTCTTGTAGAAATAGAGAAAGCAATCATGAAATTCATATGGAAAAATAAAAGACCCAGAATAGCAAAAACAATGCTAAGCAAGAAGTGTGAATCAGGCGGTATAGCGATACCAGACTTCAAACTATACTACAGAGCAATAGTAACAAAAACAGCATGGTACTGGTACCAAAACAGGCGTGTGGACCAATGGTACAGAATAGAGGACACAGAAACCAATCCACAAAACTACAACTATCTTATATTTGATAAAGGGGCTAAAAGCATGCAATGGAGGAAGGATAGCATCTTCAACAAATGGTGCTGGGAAAACTGGAAATCCATATGCAACAAAATGAAACTGAATCCCTTTCTCTCGCCATGCACAAAAGTGAATTCAAAATGGATCAAGGAACTTGATATCAAATCAGAGACGCGCCGTCTGATAGAAGAAAAAGTTGGCTACGATCTACAGTCGGTGGGGTCGGGCTCCAAATTCCTCAATAGGACACCCATAGCACAAAAGTTAATAACTAGAATCAACAAATGGGACTTACTCAAACTAAGAAGTTTTTTCTCAGCAAAAGAAACAATAAGAGAGGTAAATAGGGAGCCTACATCCTGGGAACAAATCTTTACTCCTCACACTTCAGATAGAGCCCTAATATCCAGAGTATACAAAGAACTCAAAAAATTAGACAATAAGAGAACAAACAACCCAATCAACAAATGGGCCAAGGACCTGAACAGACACTTCACAGAGGAGGACATACAGTCAATCAACAAGTACATGAAAAAATGCTCAACATCTCTAGCTGTCAGAGAAATGCAAATCAAAACCACCCTAAGATACCATCTCACTCCAGTAAGATTGGCAGCCATTAGGAAGTCAAACAACAACAAGTGCTGGCGAGGATGTGGGGAAAAGGGTACACTTGTACATTGCTGGTGGGACTGCAGATTGGTGCAGCCAATTTGGAAAGCAGTATGGAGATTTCTTGGAAAGCTGGGAATGGAGCCACCATTTGACCCAGCTATTCCCCTTCTTGGTCTATTCCCTAAAGACCTAAAAAGAGCATGCTACAGGGACACTGCTACATCGATGTTCATAGCAGCACAGTTCACAATAGCAAGACTGTGGAACCAACCTAGATGCCCTTCAATAGACGAATGGATAAAAAAAATGTGGCATTTATACACAATGGAGTATTACTCTGCATTAAAAAATGACAAAATCATAGAATTTACAGGGAAATGGATGGCACTAGAGCAGATTATGCTAAGTGAAGCTAGCCAATCCCTAAAAAACAAATGCCAAATGTCTTCTTTGATATAAGGAAAGTAACTAAGAACAGAGTAGGGACGAAGAACAGGAGAAGAAGATTAACATTTAACAGGGATGAGAGGTGGGAGGGAAAGGGAGAGAGAAGGTAAATTGCACGGTAATGGAAGGAGACCCTCAGGGTTATACAGTGGAGGGGGTAGAGAGAGAGGAGGGGAGGGGAGGGGAGAGGTGGGGAGGGGGGAGGGTGGATGATGGGAAAGGCAGCGGAGCACAACAGACACTAGTATGGCAATTTGTAAATCAATGGATGTGTAACTGATGTGAATCTGCAATCTGTGTATGGGGTGAAGGTGGGAGTTCATAACCCACTAGAATCAAAGTGTGGAATATGATATGTCAAGAAATTTGTAATGTTTTGAACAACCCACAATAAAAAATTAAAAAAAAAAAAAAAAAAAAAAAAAAAAAAAGAAAGTAGAAATATAACATTTCTGTTGGTTTTTTAAAGAAAGAAAAACAATATACATTGCTTTATGCTTCTTGGGTTACAGCATTATAAAAGTATAAATTTTTTATAATTTTCTGGTTCCTTTTTAAGATTTTCTCCTTAACACAAGGTTATTATTATTTTTTTTATGATGTGCCTTTGTGCAGTTTCCTTTATTTTCTGTGCCTGGCATTTGCTGAGTTTCTTGGATCTGTGGTTTAAGTTTTTATCAGAATTGGAGAAATTTTGGCCATTATTCAAATATTGTTCTAGTGCTCTGCACCTCTCTTTTGGAAAATCTAATTATATGTGTATTAGACTCTTAAAGTGGTCCCAGAGCTCACTTATGCACTATTTAATTTTAAAAGTAAGTATTCTTATCTTTCTGTGTTTCATTTTGAATAATTTCTATTTCTTATGTCTTTATGTTCACTAGCTTTTTCTTTTGCAATGTCTTATCTGCCATTAACCCTATCATTATTTTCCATTCCAGAAGCTATAGTTTTCACTTCTAAAAGTATGTTATGCAGTGTCTTGGAAGCTATTTTCATATAAATCACGTTTTGGTTATCTTAGGCAAGAGGGTAAATCTTATCCTTGTTACTCTGTCTAGGGTGGAACAGTATGGGTGGAAATGTGGAAGAAGTGATAGTATGTTATTTTTGATACCAGGACATAAAAGGTATCCTAGCTTCCTCTTTACTATACCCCTCCCCTCACCTTTTTTTTTTTCCCCTGTGATGCTGGAGATTGAAACCCAGGGCCTTGTGCTGTGAGTCAAGCATTCTATCAACTGAGCTATATTCCCAGTCCTATCCCTTTCTTGAATCAGTTGCTCTAGGAGAAGCCAGCTGCCACAGAATGAAGACATTCAAATAGTTCTATGGAAAGATCCAACTGGTAAGGAAATAGGAACTCCTGCCAATAGCCATATTAATATTCCATCTTGGACCTGGATCCCCCAGCCTCAGTCAAGCCTCTGTATGACTAAAACTCTGGCTGACACCTTGATTACAACCAAGGAATTCCTAGCCTGAACCACCTTTTAGCTGCTTATGAATGCTTAACTCACAATAACCATGAGATAATGTTTATTGCTTTAAGCCATTGTTTTGGTATAATTTGTTTCATAGAAATACACAACGAATAGAGGAACCAAATTTTATTCAAGTTGTAAAAAACATTGGTTGAATCCCTTAATTAATTTTATTCATTTCTCATCCCCAACTCAGCCTAAATAACAATGCACGGACAAAATCACTAGACTTGGTACTTGGAGCATTTATACTCAAAACATTCCCTATGTGATTCATTTTGAAAAGCCCTAGCTTCTATGAGCCTAAGACACATCAAAGCAATAAGGATATGTTATATTTTTTAATGTTGTAACCCAAGAAGCATAAAGCAATGTCTATTGTTTTCCTTTCTTTAAAAATCCAACAGAAACGTTATCTTTCTACTTTCAATAAGAGAAATAAGGCATTAATTAAAATGAGTGTATTCTAATCAGATATTACACTAATAATGTAGCAAGAGATTTATGAAATTCCTCCCTTAGGAATCTTGAAGAATAGAATTTATGTCCATTTGATAAATATATTAGCAGCAAGGCTGCTTCAAGAAAGAAGATGCATAGAACCTCTAGAAGTCTTTCTCACCCCTGTGATTCTGAACTTTTTATATAAGGGAAAAAGGGAAGAGTTGAATTTTGTTTAAGAATAGATAGTTGCTTGTGGGGGTGCTTTGTAAAACATTATCCATGGTTCAGCCAATGCTTTTTAAAACTCTATTGGGAGTTTTATCCAAAGGGAATTAAGAGTTTTGCCTGAGTAGAACATAAAGAAAGTATTTTTATGTTTTTGCACAGTTAGGGTTTTCTGAAAAATAAAACTGGCCGCTGGGGTAAAGGACAAGTCTGTGAAGTTAAAGGGTGTTTGAATAGACCCTTTAGCCTCAGAGTGAAGAGATTTAGAGACTTATTTCCTTATACATTCAGATTTCAAAGTGGGTGAAAGGAGTCAGTTGTTTATATTTCAAAGTACTGTAAAGGTCAAGGTTTTTCTCCTTCTCTCAAGAGTGGAGTGGGGCAATGTGTAGCCTACTTCAACCTTAAATGTTAATAATTTGGAGAATTCTATGCAGGAGAAGCCCCCCATGTAGGCAAGATGATAGTCTAATAGTACCACTGGAGGGCTACTGGATAAGGGAAAAAGTGTGGCTTTTACTATTAATAAAAACTATGATCTCTGTTCCAAAAACCTCATATTTGCTTTCAGGATAAAATAAATAAATACTCACCACAAAAGGAAGGATGCACTCATGTTGATTTTGTACCATGTATAAACTAAAGAGAGACATGCGACTGGGGCCCATCAAGCTGCAGGCTAAAGAAAAAAAGTTTTGCAGAGCCTCACAGAGGTTGGAGCAGATGTCAGCCCAGTCTGGTAAAGCAATGTGCACAATGAGAAGTCGAGGAGGTTGCTGGTTAGTCTGTGTGGCAGTAGAGGGCCCTTTACCAATAGCTCGCCCATGATGCATGGCAGCCAAACCAGGGGTAGAAGTGTAGCCACTATCTGGATATTCTGTATACCTATAAGGAAGGAAAGAAAAAACAACTAGCTTTCACAATGTTGAATTGGGTGCTCTGTTAAAACAAAGAATACTAGCTGAGAGGACTAAGTCCAGAAGGAGTCAAATTGGGTACTAAAGCTTTTCTAGGCTATCCTGTATTAATAGTACCCAAGGGATCTAGATGTTTGACTAATGTAAGCATGAGATGCTTAGAGATGTTGAGTGGTAACAATATAGAAGTTATATAAAATCTAACTTTAGTTTCAGAAAAAGCTATTGGCACTCATAAACCTTTTTTTTCTTTATTAGTAGTTATTATATTGTACAGTAATTGGCTTGTATGACTGTCTCTCCCTTTATAATTTTCCCAAGGAAAACTTTGTCATGTTGACTTCATTCATTAGTACTGTATGTGTTTAGTACATAGTAATACTTAAAAATGAAAGTATAACCTCATTTATTCCTCTTTTGGGTTTCTCTTGGGTTATTCCTAACTCCTATAAGGTAAAATTTAAATTCTCTTCAAGACGCTTCATGACTTGATTATCGACCTCACTGGAAGCTGTTTTTCACCTCAAGGTTTTCACTGAAATAATATCAAATATAACTTTGCTTTCGGGCATTTGTTCATGCTGTTTTTCTGCTTCCAAAAACCTTGCTTTCCTTTTTTACTAGCTATTTACCCTAATCTTCAGACCTCAGATGAGGAAACAAGAACAAATGAGAACAAGGAACCAATATCAGGAATAAGAAGGGTTATCATTACAAATGTTAAAACATGAAAAGGGGTAAAGGAGGATAGAATGAATAGCTTTATGCCAATAAATATGATAAATGAACACATTCTTAGAAAAAGGTATTTAACCAACAAATAAAAATGAAATTTTAAAACCTAAATTGTCTATAACTATCGAATAAATTTAATTGATAATCAAATATTGTCCTACAAATTAAGCCAAAAGCCAGATGATTTTATGGATGGGCTTCATCAAACTCCCAAAGACCAAGAATTTCAATTTTAAACAAATTCTTTCGAGAATAGAAGTGGGAACTTCTCAATTAATCTTAGGAGGTTAGCATAATCTTTTGATACTGAAACCAGATAAAGATATTATAAGAAAAAAAGTAAGATAATTTCACCCATGAACATAAGATGTAAGCATCCTAAACAAAAAAAAGAAAGAAAGAAAATTTAAACTAGCAATGTATAAAAATAACACATCATGACCAAGGTGAGTTTATCTCAAAAGCATATCAATTACTGTAATTCATCACATTAAAAGAGTAAATGAGGAAAATGAAATGATCATCTGAATAAATGCAGAAAAAGTCTTTGTTGAAACATAATGTTCATGCAAGAAAAAGATTCAAAAAGATTCATTCATCATGGTGTATTCACATTATGAAACAAATGAACTACAGTTACATACAACAATGCTGAGGACTCTAAAAAACATAATATTGAATAAAAAGAAGACAATAACTAGGAATAGATGACAGGAATAATCTAATAAAATGTTTATAAAAACCTAGAGCAAACACCATTCTTTCTTTTTCTTTGGTACGAGGAATAAACCCCAGGCTTCATAAATTATACCCCCAGTCACAAATTCATTCTTAACAGTAATAGGTTGACAGCTTTCCCTATAAGACAAAGAGCTTACTACCATCACTTCTATTCAACACTGTAGTGAAGGTGGCAATAAACAAAACAAATAAATAAAAGGTACTACAATGAAAGAAAATTTCATTGTTTGCAGATGATATGATTGTGTATACAGAAAATCTAAAAGAATCCATAATTTCCCAAATTTTTCTCATTCTTTTAAAAATTTTAGTCTTAGGTATCTGTTATTTTTTAAATATTAATTTACATGACATCTTTAAAAAATTCATTGTTAATTTTTGGCTAATGTATAGAATTATAATTCATTTTTACATATTGACTTTGCATTTAACAACATTGCTGCTCTCTTACTAATTATAATAATTTATCCATAGATCTTTTTGGATTTTTTGTTCACAATCACATAGTGTGTGAAAAATGATATGCATCAGGTTACATTAACAAAGTCAGATATTGGCAACATAAAGATTATACTAGACTTGTTCACAATTACTCCAAACTATAAGCAACACAAATGTCAATCTACATTATGATGGTTATATCATGGTATATTCACATTATGAAACAAATGAACTACAGTTTAATGCAACAATGCTGAGGACTCTAAAAATCATAATATTGAATAAAAAGAAGACAAATAGTTTGTACACATAGCATGAGTCTACCTATGTAAATTTTACAAATAATAAAATTAATTAGCTTGCCTAGGGATCATACATAGTGGTAAAACCATAAATAAAAGCAAGGAAACTATTATCACAAAAACTAGGGTGGTGATTTTCTCTAGAAAGGAAGGAGGACATTATGACTAGAAGGGACAAAGGGATGTTCAGGGCTTTTTTTTAGTAATGTTCTATTTCTTTATTGTGACTAATTATTAAACTATATGTACAAGTTCTATGACACTTTTTTCTATTCCTTGTTTATCAATAAAAATACTTCAAAAAGAACTTTAGGACAATCATAAAAGAAACATAAAAAAAGGTAGATAAAAGATTAAAATCGTCCCCTGCTCTGGGAACTAAAATGGATATATATATATATATATGTGTGTGTGTGTGTGTGTGTGTGTGTGTATGTGTATGTATATATAATTTTAGCTCAACAATGCAAGGAAAATTAAAGTTTCTTTAAGAGAAAGATTATTATGATAATTTTCAGAAACATTTTGGTATCTAGATGATGCGAGAATGATGCACCAATGTGTCTGTTTCTTGAAATGAATCTGTGAAGTAGTTTTCTTTGTATTTCTTTCTTAGGCTATGGAAGTCAGCATTCATTCAACTTTTTTTGGTGTATGTGGTGGTGCTAGGGATTGAACTCAGGTCCTTGTAGTATGCTAGGCAAGCACTCTACCAACTGAGCTATATCCTTACCTCAACTTCTTTTTTTTTTTTTTATTGAGTTCTAATTATGTTCTGGCTACAGTTGAAAAAACTAAATGAATGAATACTGTTGAAAGTATTCTTGAACCAGAAATCCAAATCAATGTGTAATATATTTACCAAGAAAACATATGCTATAACTTATAAGTATCTCTTAACTTTATTTTTAAATTAAGTGCATGAGACCAATTCTATATAGAATGCTGAACTTGAGACTGACAGGTTCACACAAATATAAACACAGACGTCTTATTTAACTGTCCATCTTCCTTCACATCTGAAAACACTGTCATTTTAAGTATAGTTAGTTCTCAGTTTAAATAATTCCAGTATACAGACTTCAGTTACCATAGTGTAGACAATTAACATTAGTCCTCTATCAAAACAGTTCAAATTTCAGTTGCTAAGGAATATTAATTATGAGTAATTATATAAAGTAAAAGTTGCATCTAGCTCTTTAGTCTACAAATTATTATGTAAGTAAAAGATGCACATAATGATCAGTGATCAATTATGTTACTTCTTTTAAAATTTCTTGGTCAATGGTCACTGCATATTTGCTATTCAGTTTATGCACAGTGGGTAATAAGTTACTTCCTTGTCTCCTTGTGACAAGCCCACATAAAATTGTATAAAAATCAATAAATGAAAGTGGGTATTGGCCAACAAAAATAAAAGTGAAGCAAAGAAACAAAAGCGGCAATGTTGAAAGTGAAATCCAAATAGAACATAAATGGAATTACAGAAAAAAATAGCTGAATGTGTGAATGTTGACACTGCCACCTTTTCATAGACTCTAGGTATGCAGTGAGAGGAACTTAATGAAAGTGAACTTACCAACATAAATGAGGAAAGTGGTTGTGAAGAAAAGAATGAAAGTGCCATGGGCAAGAAAAGAACTTCATTATTAAAGGAACTCTCAGGGGTATTTTACAAAATGGAAAGCACAAAGGATAAAGTATTGGAACTGATCCAAACTTGGAGTATAACACCGCCAAGGCATAGAAAAGATATGTGCTCAATCCTAAATTATATTATGAGAAGCAAGTAAGCAAAGCACTGTTCAAACTATTGAGAAGTTTTTTGTTTTGTTTAAAAAAACACTTTAGTTCTTAGTGTTTGTTTTACAGTATGCAAAAATAAATATTAGTTTTACAGTATGCAAAAATATACTTAGTAATGAGAGGTTTCAGTGTTTTGACGTTGTTTTCGAGGGTTAGGGAACAAATGTACTTTTCCCCATGATTAAGATTTCTTTGCGGTTGCAACTTGCAGTCATTTTTAGATGCCACACTAATGTGCAATTGGAGGACTGTCTAAAAATGTGGTAAGGGTATCCTTAAACATGATCATATACTGCATCTGGGCAGGATCTGACTTTATTGCTGACTGTACACTTCTTACTTTTGCCAAGAATACCCTCGTAATGGTTTAACCTGGAACTGTGCCTGAACCAAAAGTCAAGTTACTCCACTACTAAAAACCCTTCAGTGATTTCCAGTTACACTTGGAACAAAATCCAAAATCCTTACCCTGGCCCCAGAGTTGTACTTGTGTCTTTTGCTCACTCTCCAGAACATCTCCAGCCCACCCAATAACCCCCCAGGTGTCTTTCAGATCCACAAAGGCTTTCAGCTTCCACCTGGGGCTCACAGGCAGGAGCTCTCATGCCCTCCGCATTAAGTGATTCAATGGTTCTTCCTCCCACAGGGTTCCTAGCATGCACGGGGCCCTGCGTTCCATCCCAGCAAAAAATTTATGGGCTTTAGTTAGGCACTTTTCTCTTCACGGTCCCCTTCCTCCATTAAAAAAAAAAAAATCGATTTTAGTGGGCCCTAAAAATGTCAAGTCTTCCCCTATTATGAGAAAAAAAAATCAAAACGTTTTCTTTGACCTTAAGGGATCATTGTTTTCTTCTGACTAAAGACATTAAAAATTTCTCGAGGCCCCACAGGCCTGCAGCCCGCTCAGGCGCGCCTCAGATGCCTGAGGAAGCCTCAGGCTTCAGCTCTGTCAGGACTGCGCTGCGAACACCTGCCAGAGGGCGGGTCTGAACTCCGCCCTAGCCCAGCTTTCGAGGCGCTGTCCTCCCTCCGCGAGGTTCTAGATTCCTTCTCCCACCCAGAGGCGCAGAAAAAGCAGGGCCCATTACCTGGCCGTCGGGATCTCAAGCAAAGGCACTTGGCCGTGGGCGCCCCCTTCAGCCTGTAGCAGGGCGGGGGCGAGGCCTGGTCTGAAAGGGCGGAAGCTGGGCGGGGCGGAGCAGGACCTGGGCGGGGCGGAGCAGGACCTGGGCGGGGCGGAGCAGGACCTGGGCGGGGCGGAACCTGGGTGGGGCAGCCTCAGGTTTTCCTCAAAGCGCCTCAGCTCATGGTCTCCAGTCCTCAGACCCACTGCGAACAGTCCTGGTTTAGTCTTTAGGTAGAGTTTTGTATCTGTGTTGGAAATTATGTCCTAAACCTGAGCCTCCTTCTTCCTCCCATGGAACCTGTTAGTAGCATCGTTCACTCACTCAGTCATTATTTTATTCAATGAATATTTATGGCGAGCACACTGTATTGTGCAAGGATTGGGGTATAATAAGTACATGAAAGCTCTCTCAATCCCCTTATGAAAGAGCTTAATCTACCCTTAGGCCGCTCTTTTTAGTCTTTTCGAACCACTCCTTTCCAAGATGGTGTCCTTTTACTCGGATTCAGTGTCACTTACTTCAGTTAATTCCTACAGCCCCTTCAACACACTTCAGATGGGCTAGGAGCAACCTGACCTTATTGGCTGTTTGGTCTGGGACTTGAACTCTGGTGGAATAAATATTCTCCTCTGAATTAGTCTACTGGAAAGAAAAAGAAATTCCAGTACCAAATCAGAAATGGACAGTTTCTCTCATTATTCTTCTCTGCCTCTGTTACCAGAGATGCAAGTGAGGTAATGTTATGGTGTGAAATGATAAATATAATCAATAAGTCATAGATATAGGGTATATAGGTATAAGGTAAGATAGAATATATAATCAATAAGCAATAGATATAGATTAAAGACTATAGGAATAAGGTAAGATAACATAGATAAGCGATAGTAAGACATAAGTTCATCAGGAATAAGCCTAAGTAATAGTAGAAAAATCATGTAACTATAAAACATAGGATTTAAGCCATAGAATAAGTCAGTGTGTCAGTATAGTTATAAATAACTATAAGCAAGTGGGTTAATATATAGATAAGATTAATTAACATAGCAACTTGATCTTGTAGACTTGCATAGGATAAAAGACATAGGGTTTATAGATATTAGTAAGATGACAGATAAAAATGTGTGTGTAGGCCATAAGATAACTGTAGTTTTAAGTAGGCATCAAATAAGTTACTAGTACTGAGTGTGCAAAGCAATTGCTCTGGTAGAAACTCATTAGTCACTTGCATCAATTCCACTTTACTGGGATTATGGGACTAGGGTGACTGTAGTCATTTGAGTAAAAAGATGTGACTATAGAAACTCCATCTTAGTTTCTGTGTTACTGTCCCTGTGAAGAGAGAACTGCATGACCCTTTTCTAGGAAATAGAAACTAAAGCTGTTTTCTTATTTAAAAATTTGTCTTTCTGTACTTTGTACCCCACAAATTGTACCCTACTCAGGATGCAGCGGTGGTCGGTGGTTGTGGTGAGCTACATCCTGGGTTTGACTGCCCTAGTGGGTGTACATGACTTTGAAGTAGATTCTCGCCCCACCAACCCCTGCCCAAATTCAGGATATGACTGTCTAGCACCTGCTTGAACCCTGGGACTGTGGTCAACTGAACTGCAAAGCTAATGCTTTTTTAGCTTCTGTTTATTGCTTGCTTCCTGACTGGAAAATTCCAGTCCTGCCTAGAGCCCACAGGTCCCACTTATTAATGTTTTAATTTCTGTGATTGGCTAGTGTTTTTTTTGTTCTTATATTCTCCTTAGATGGACCAGGAAGCTGCTGTCCTCCCACAAACCTTGAGTCTCTATGGTGGGTGACAGTCCCTGGCCAGGTAAATAAAGCTCTATTTGATTTGAAATTCAGACTTTTAGTGCTTTCTGGAGCAGCTCCCCATAACAGTAGCAATGCAGGTGAGGTGAGGCAATGTTTTAATGAGTGGCTCAGGAAAGGTTTCAATAGGAAAAGAGTCACCTGCCTGTGTTTTAGTTCCACTAGACCATTTTGCCTCTCTTACCAGCTCCTCAGAATAAAAACAGAAATATTTAACACTAGTGTCCTTTTTAAAACCCTGCAGTCTGATGTATAATAGAATCCCTGTGTTTCAATTTAAAGGGTAACTTATCTATAGCTCTTCTTACCCATGTATTCTAGATTAGTTTTCCTGTCTCCAATTTCCAGATTATCTTTTCCACTTGATGTCAGAATCATTCTTGTAAAAAGATTTTACTCATGTTACTTTTTGCTTAAAAACCTTTTTTGTTTCCTTTTTGGTTACAAGGTCCATTATAAGTGACTACTTTATCAGACTCAACCTTAACACCAGACTAACTTGAAAACATACACCCATTGCTCTCAGCTACAATAACTTTTTTTTCCTGTACCCTCTATTCATCTGGAACAGAATTTATTGAAAAATGTTCAAAGAATTGTGCCAAGTGTGGGAGAATATTACATAATTCCTTGAAGAATTATTCTCTGAGAGTAACCAACTGTAATGCCATATGAAAGTGCTTAGAAACCTTAAAGTACAAGGAGGGTTACTGACCAGGGGATCGATTGCAGCCTTAGAAATCTACTGCCATATTGCCCAGAGACTTCTCTTCCCACAGGGTGCTCTCAGCCAATGATGGAGTATGATAGGGATAAAGCAGACCTGTTCCTGGAAAACACAGAATTCTTCTAGCAGTCAACTCTGACTCCACATGTACTTAACAGCCTTGTCTGAACATTCTCAGTCTTTCTTTTTCCTTAGGAGTCAAACTCTTCCATCACAGTGTGACCTCTCTCCTGTCCTTTCCTGACCCTTTCCACATTTTTCTCTCAGGTGTTTCTTCTAATAAAATCCTTATACCATTAATCTTATCTCAGTGTTTGCTTTTTGGAGAAACAAAACTAACATTTAAATATTTAAGCAATGTAATAAGCACTGAGAGAGGTATTAAGTAAATTGTCACCAAATATTTGCTGACTTTCGAGTATATACTAGGTACTGGTGGGCTCTGAAATATAATCGTTTCTGTCTTCCTGGACTTAGTCTATGGGGAATAGACCAGTACTTAGGCAATGACAATGTGGCATTATATGTGTGACAGCAGAGAAAACACAAGGTTATGGGAGCACATAGGATGGTATACACTTGAAGAATTGGGGTGAACTTCCTGGAAAAGGGGAAATTATCATTTCAAGTGATGAACAAAAGTAAATGTGAGCTAGCCAAGCAAGGGGCACAGAGAGCATTCCATATAGAGGGAATTCTGAGCAAATGAAGAAGCTCAGCCAGTGTGGGATATAGTTTTGTGGAAGAGGAGTGGTAAAGATGAAGCAGGAGAGGTATGCAAAAGGCCAGAACAGGTAAGATCTTGTGGATCATATTAAGGATTTTGGATTTTATCCCATGGCAAATGCAAGGTAGAGTGGATGGATTCAATTAAGTGGTAAGAAAAAGAGTGACATGACCTGATTTGTGTAATGGACAGAACACTTATCTGCCCCAGGGGAAAGGATTGGGTGCTGAAGTTGGGGTGATGGTAACTGGACATGGGTCAAGACTGGAGTAGAAAATAGCTCAGGCAAAAGAACATACTGACTTGAATTAGAGATTGTTAAAGGGGATGCTGAGATGTAGGTAGAAATAGGAGTTAAAATAAACAGGCTTGGAGATTGGATGGATTAGGAGGAATCCAGAATGACAGGGCCTAGAACATAGTAGGCATTCAATGAATATTTATTGAATAAATGAATGCAAAATCCCTGGTTGAAAAGATAATGGTGCTAAGTCAAAAGATAAAGATAACTACCCAGTTACCCTTGCTTGAATGGGGTGATGATGACAGTCTCAATTTGAACATGTTGAAATCAAGTTGCCTGTGTTAAAATGAGTGGAAATGTATGTGTCAACATCTGAAGAGAAAAATATGGCCTGGAAATAAAGATTTAGAAAGTTGATAGTAATTAAATTAGTATGAATGAGACTACCTAGAACAGTGAAAAGTAGGGATCACAATTTGTTAATGAGTATTAAAAATCAATTTAGTGGACTGCAACCAGCAATTTAAGAAATGGAATAGAATAAAATGCAACACAATAGAAAACACTAGAATTTAGCTCCTGAAATAAAGGTAAACATGATGGAAGTATGATTTTGTGAAAAATTCATTTCAGTAATGTTATGAATATGTATACTTAAATGTGATTAGGCTGCAATATAAAACAAACTTTTGTGTGTTGCTATAAAATTTGAAAAAAGATTTTTGGAAAAAAAAATCAAAAGACTGAAAAATCAACACCTAACTCATTGTCAGAAAAGGAACTAAGTCCTCTAATAGATTGTTGTGGAGCACCTAAAGAGAGGTATATACTGGTGCCAGAGGAAGAAACTCAAGGAAGGTCCCCATGTGTTAAGGTTTGCATTAGGAAAGGTTTCAGAAAGATCTAAGGTACTAATCTTAAGAATATGATTTTTTAGAATAAGCAATTTGCATTCAAGAACCATGTCTTACATCATATCTCTAGTACCTATCAAAATGTCTACTACATAATAGACCCTCAAACTTTCAAATGAATAAACTAAAACTTGTGCTTTAGGAAGATTATTCTGACAGCAATCTGGAAGGGGAGAGAATGGAGAAAAGGTTTTTTTTTTTTTTTTTCACAAGTTTTAGTTAATTTTAATTGATACATAATTGTTCAAGTTTGTGGGGTGTAATGTGGTGTTTTGACACATATATACAGTGTATAATGATCAAATCAGAGCAAATAGCATCTTAAAATGAAACTATTTCACAGTCCAGGTGAATGATGATGAAGTCCTAAATGATAAATGATAATGGAAGGAAAAGGACAGATTTATTTATAATCAGAATTACCAAGATATGGGGCTGCATACATATGGGTGTGGTAGCCAGTCTCCATGGCTGAAATCCTCATATTCACCCTTGTAAAGTCCCCCTCCCATGGTACATCAGGGGTGATCTGTGTGACCAACTGAATATGGCAGAAGCGATCACATATTAATTACTTCTGAGGCTAAGTCATAAAATA